TTTTGTTCCAATGGGGAACAAAAACAAATTATGAAATCTGGAAAGTTGCCTTGAAATGGAATTGTCATTTTCCAGACAGCTCTAGTCCTTTAATAGTTGCTGCAGCAGCTCTCTTTTGCAGCTCAATGGCAGACATCCTAAGATTTCTGGGCTTTGTCTGAAGAAATCCTACTCCCAAAAAGGGTGTTAGGATAGCAAAAAATGGCAACATTTTAATAAATAAATAAGGAGGTGGCTGAGGAGAAAGAAGTTAAGATGGTAACAGGATCAAAGGCTAAAACAATCAAATTGAGACACGACTGCAAGAAGATTAGTCAATTTTGAACTGGTCAATGGGATGGGACACAAAACAAAATGCCAGATACAAGGGCAGTAGGTCTCAATTATGTGCTTGCTTACATGCAACTTGTTTCAGTTAATTACACAGACCCCTGGGTGGACACAGTTGCCGTTTTACAACTGGTTGCCAATATAAACCAAGTTTAAATAGACTCAAGTGTGTCTAAACACAAAGTTGTACCAATTTAACTAAATTGATTAAAAATAAAACTGGTGTAACTCTGTGGGTAGACCAGGTCTAAAGTTACTTCTCTCCCTCCCTCCCTCTCATTTGGCTGGTATGTTGGCCAGGATGATTTTATACATGTATAGAGTCTGTGTATACCCACATTTGATAAAGATACACATTTACGTATAGTATGAAACTTAACTTTCACATTTTATGTCTCTTCTTTTAAATTTGCTACCTTAATGGAAAAAGTAACCTTAAATTTACTATTTTTAACTTAAAACTTAATGTTTTTGTTTACTGCCAGCCATTTTTGTGTTTGTGTACAAAACACATTTGTCAGCAAACGAAAGCAAACTCATTTACAATTTTACAGAAAAGCAGAGTGGTATCTAAGAGAGAGGCTGGAGCAAGCAACATGGCTATGGTTGGAACTTGACTTCATTTTAGCCACTATTTTCATTTGCTTCTAAGTTTTTTTTAAAAATTTCCTTTTTTTTTTTCTCCAGTCCAAAGGCTGATTTATTTTTGAAAAGTGTGAAATAAATCCATTCTGTTATTTGTGAACAGGAGAAGCTTTAATGTCCTGCAGAAGAAAAGTTGGAGCCAATGAAAAGAATCAGTAACTGGGAGACATGGGATGCAGTCCTGGTCCATTAAAGCTAATGGAAAAACTCTAGTTGATTTCTGAGGGGCCAGAAAGTCAGTCAGGGTCATAAAGAAAGGTCTTTTGTACGTGCTTTGGATCAGCTGAAATGGGAAAGGAATGAGAAAAGCCAGAGGGGAGTGGTTTGCATTAATCTCAATTGCAGATTACCAGAGTTTTGTCCGTAGTGATAAGGGAGAGGCAGGGTTAATAGTTTTGTTGTTTCTTTTTTTAAAAGTCACAAAAAAAAATCCTTTCACATTCTGAAGGTAAGAGTCAAAGCCACAAAAGCAAGGAAATATTCAAGTTCTTGCCTTGTCTTCCTTTGGTCCCTTTATTAGCGTCCCATCACCTACCACCACAAGTTTACACTGCTATACTACCTTGCCACTTCACCCCACACACACGTAGACCTGCTTCCATCCTGGACCATTCTCTCTGACCAGGCCACCTGGTGAACTCCCCCTTTGTGTCCTCACTTCACTCACGTCTTCTGGCCTGTTTCTATGATGATCCTCCCTGATCCTCTGTGCCGTGCCACCATCCTTTTCTTCTAGTCCCTCTTGAAACACACTTCTTCCAGGACAGCTTTACTCTATGTGATGGAACTACCAGGAGTGTGCCCCATTCCACCGATGAGTCACATTAATTTGTGTTGTTCCCCTCTTTGTCTGCACGTTGTAATGTGCCCAGAAGGACCTAGCCTTATTTTTCTGTCTAAAATGCCTAATGCATTTTGAGCTCTATACAAATCAGAAATAAGAAGTTAAGAGCAAAGCTTGAACTCCTGGTTATCACAAGGATGTCTTTAACTTTAGAGAGCAGAATTTCGGGCCTTTGTTGTTTTTGTAACATTATCGTTAGAGACAAGCCTGAATAAAGAATCCAGATCCACATACTCCATGTTCAGCTCATGCAAGTGATCTTGTTTCTATAAAGGAGTGAATTAAATACCAAGGTACGAACTCAACCCCACTGCATCCTTCCACTCAACACAGCATTAATCACAATCCAGATCTGAATTGTGGAGCTTGGACTCACGTAACTGACGGTCACGTAACTCACTCTGATAATGTCCAGACCATTGATTTGTGTAGCAAAGGTGTTTTAACATTTCTTTGCAACCTCATACAGAGCTCTACAAAAGCTTTACCTCTAAAGTGTTTCCTTTCATTTTTTTTTTCTGGTTTCACATCTGTTGGAAACTAAAGTGTGAATTATAACTTATAATAAATATAGTTTTACCAAAAAGGCTGTGTCTACACATGTTGCACCTTCCAAACAGAGAGAGCTTTTTTTTCTAGTAGGATTACTGATTAACGTTAAATAGTTGGACACCATAAGTGAATATTTACTCTGGTATGAATGAACTGTAGGAAGTAATTTGTGTGTATTGTGCTTTGCAAACAGACCTGTTTGCTACATAGATTATGCTGTTCTTTTGAGCCCTGATTCTGCAAGTTATGTTGAACTCAGTGAGGCTCTGCATGAGTATATGGGTTCATTTGCACATTGTAACTTGTAGGATCAGGGACTTGATCTTTCTCATCACCTAATTCATTTGGTAGTTTACTCATAAATATATATTTTATAGACAATATTTGTTATCCTTTCAGCTCCAATACACAAACAATAATACAAAATGCACAACTTTCTAATTTAAAGTTTATATACAGTCAAGTGTGTATGTGTGTGTATGTGTATATATATATATATTATATATATATAAAACTGGTTGCTTTTCAATAGTCAATTTGTTCATTATTGTTATGTATTAGAATCAGCATAGAGTAAAATATGAACCTTAAATTTTTAAGAAAATATTTGTCTGTAAAATCCTGAAATTCTTCCAAGCTTAATTAGATGGATCACATTGAATCTATTATGGCAATATCTTGAGGCAACATAATTCAATTATTTGGAAAGGTAATCAGTCTTTGCATATATCAAAGCAGAGTAATTGAATCACTGTAAGATCTAAATATATATTATGTGTCTCTGGTTTTCTTTTCAGTGTATACTAAATTCATCCCACTTGTAAAATCCATTAAATAAATTGATCCCAAAATGTATATGCTGACAAACATAGCTAATGCAAACATACGTGTTTGTGCAAACCCTCCAGTGCATATGTACGTGGAAGGGATGCACATACATATATTTGTGTGGTTTTTGAGAAGTGCTAGGGTCGTACTGAAAAATGTGTACATATAAAAAGGGGAGAAGAAGAGTTTAGTGTAAGACCAAAGAAAAATAACATTAAAGTAATTTTGTACTTTATTCTACTATTAAAGATTATTAGGGAAATGAAATATCACTCTAGTTTTTAGGCATAATTGACTCCATAATAAGATTCCCTCCCATGCACCGTCATACATTTTCTTTAATTTCTAAGTGACAGTGTTACGGTAGGTATCTGGTCTGTCTATCAGGTATAGGTATTTGTACCATGCTCATCACAATGGTATCAGAATGTCTTAAGAAATTAAGTAAATGCAAGCAGGTAGTCTATATATAGAAACTCCTTTCCTATCTTGCTGTGTACGTGCAAATAGGGGATTGTTTCACTTGATTGTGAGAGAGATGTGGCAAAGACAGGAGGTCTTTCATTTAGTTCAAATGTGGATAAGACTCTTAATTCCTGTGAAAGAGATTTCCAGCTGCCAATACATCATGTGTCCCTAACTTTAGTTTCTTAAATTTTCTGTTGCTTGCTGTTGAAATATAGCAAAAGTAAATAAGTTTATTATCTGTATCCTAATGTGGATTCTCCTTTACAGATTGCTATTGTGCAAAAAGAGAGAGGCCATTAGAAAAAGGCATTGTGACTGGTCTTTATTATTGCACATGCCTTGAAAAATAATTAAATCTACAGTATCTACAGTCTGCTCAAAGGACATGTTCCTTTACCCAGGGTTTAGCTTGACAGTCTAATAGCATCTATTAAGCAATTTACAGCTGGAATATAATGCTTGTCTCAAAAGTAGAAACCAGGAGGCTAAAGAATAATATGTGTTATTCTTTGACACCATGACACCAAGTAGAGACCTCCTTATCCTCATTAAACACTTCTTATTTTTAAAGCTTCTCAAAACAACACCTAATACTATTTGAGAAGTTTCTTGTTTAGAAAAGTAGTAAACTGCTACAGGTCCTAATTTATCATTTTAAAGCAGAGCATTGGACTAGAAAACTTCAAAACATTTTTCTCAGGCACCACATGCGTACTTTGGGCCACTGGACCAAAAGTAAGATGGTGAATGGTTGATAATTAGTTCAAAAATGTGTCTTGCCTGAACTAATACTCCAAGTAAGCGGCACCAGGCCAGAGCCCGCACCACAAACCCCTCCTGCACCCCAACTCCCTGCCCTGAGCCCCCTGCCGTACCCAGCACCCCTCCTGCACCCCAACCCCCTTCCCTGAGCCCCCTCATGTACCCGCACCCTTTCTCTGTTCCAACCCCTTGCCCTGAGCCCCTTTAATGCTAAATATATAACATTAAGACACTGGGACTTTATAAAGTAATTAATTTGCACTTTTTGTTAATGAAATGAATTTTTAATGTTCACTTGATTATCTTGTGGTATTTTAGAGAGAAGTGATTTTATCCAAAACATTGCTTCTGTTTCTTTTATTCTGCATCTGCTAATTTACATGATTAATTTTGAGAACATCTGCATATAATTCTGTATGCTTAACAGTAGAGAGATCACACTGCTTTTCAAATAACCACTACAGCTTTCACTTTCCAGATAGTCTCAGATTTGTATCTAATTGCGATGCCAAACTTACAAAGGTGCCAAAGTATAAGTGTGTAATTATGTAATTTTCTCTTGATCTTTCAGAGTCTTCCTGCGAGCAATTAATCAGTATGCAGATATGCTAAACAAAAAATTTCTTGACCAAGCCAACTTTGAGTTACAGGTAAGAGAAGATATAAACAGTATATTTGGTACTAATGTTAATGTTTTAATAAATTTCAGGTACAAACCAATAGTTTTGATATATTTATTTGTTGTTATGCATCTCTTCCTTGGAGTGCGAATGCTGAATTTATACAATGTGTTCTGTGACATGCTAAACTAAACATATAACCCAAACACCTCTGTACTTTGAGGAAACTGGCATCCAGATCCAAATGTCATGGCCTGTCCCCCCTCTCTCAGGAGCCAAGTTGAACCAAAAACCTGGATTTGAATAGCAATGATTTTTGAGATTAAGAGCCAGATTAAGGCATTCCAGGGCTCTAAGAGCGGGAACAAGGGAGGTAGGTTCCCTCTCCCCTTAGAAGAAGCAAGGGTGGCAGCAGATTCCTCTCACCCCCGGAGAAGGAGGGGTGGCAGCACAGAGGGCTTCTTGCTACTTACCCCAGCAGCTGAGGTGTATCTGCTTGGGCAGCTGGGCCAAACCATAGCACTCCCTTTCCTCCTGCCATGTACAGCATTCTCTGCTTGTGTTGTGTTGGTGGGGTACCCCAGAACAGTCAGTCTTGGAGTTAACACTCCATTAAAGTGCATGGAGTGGGTCCCTGTTTTAGAGCCACTGTTTCAGGCTGTCTGCAGACTCAGATAGACATATCTGCACTAGTCACACAAATTTCAAGTTTTTCTTCCCAATCATGAGGACAACAAACTTACTTGCAAAAATAAAAGATGTGATTTTGATCTAATCACATGATTCCAGGAGTTGGGGAATTAGGCACAAACCTATAACGCCTATACCATAACCACCGGTCCTGTTTGAGAATGTTTAAACATCCAGATGCAAGGCAGGCCCATCTGAAATCTAAACTACAACAGGATCCCATTAAATTTAAAAATAATTCAGTTTTTGAAATGATTATACAAAATTTTAATGAGTCAAACTGTCAGGTCAGTGTGAGAAGCACGGGACAGGGGCACAAAAACTGGGGATGTAGTTTCATTCCTTAATTAAGGATGGAAGCATTGTAGGCTATATTCTCATTTAGAGGTGTCCTGTTGGGTCTCCAAAATGTCATCTGAGGGCTGCAAACTTTCAGATTTAGGTGGCTTTCTGACTTCGGCACTAGGCTGCATCTTCCTTTCCATTTAGATGTGTATTTGTGGAAACAATGACTGATTTAGAAATGGGATCATACATCATTCATAGATTCGTTGACTAAGGCCAGAAGGGATCATTGTGATCATCTAGTCCAGGGGTGGGCAAACTATGGCCCGTAGGCCGAATCTGGCCTGTGGAATTGCCACCCCTGGGGCTCCGCGGGCCCCACTCCACTCCAGGAAGCAGCCGGCACCACATCCCTGCAGCCTCTGGGGGAGGGTGGGCAGAGGGCTGAGCGCGCTGCTCTTGCCTCTGGGTACCTCCCCCGAAGCACCCATTGGCCGGGAACAGGGAACCATGGCCAATGGGAGCTTTAGGGGAGGTACCCACAGGTGACAGCAGCCCGCAGAGCTCTCTGCTCCCCCTCCCCCCGGGGCTGCAGGGACGTGGTGCCGGACGCTTCCCGGAGCAGCACAGGGCCAGGGCAGGCAGGCAGGGAGCCTGCCCTGGCCCCAGTGTGCACCGCTGCCGCCCTGGAGTCACTCCAAGTAAGCGGCACCAGGCCAGAGCCCGCACCACAAACCCCTCCTGCACCCCAACTCCCTGCCCTGAGCCCCCTGCCGTACCCAGCACCCCTCCTGCACCCCAACCCCCTTCCCTGAGCCCCCTCATGTACCCGCACCCTTTCTCTGTTCCAACCCCTTGCCCTGAGCCCCTTCCTGCACACCGCACTCCCTCCTGCACCCCAACCCACTACCCCAGACCTACATTCATGGCCCTGCATGCAATTTCCCCACCCAGATGTGGCCCTCGGGCCAAAAAGTTTGCCCACCCCGATCAAGTCCGACCTCCTGTACAACACAGGCCATATGACTTAATTGAATTACTTTGTGTTTGAACTGGAACATATGTGTTTAGAAAAACATCTCATCGTGATTTAAAAATTGCAAGTGATGGAAAATCCACCACAGTTCTTGGTAAGTCGTTCCAATGGTTAATTACCCTCACTTAAAAAATTGCTCTTTATTTCCAATCTGGATTTGTCTAGCTTCAACTTCCTGCAAGTAGATCTTGTACTTTTGTCGGCTAGACTGAAGAGTCCATTATCAAATTATTGTTTCCCATGAAGGTACAGTACTTATAAGCTGTGTCTGTCACAACTTAACCTTCTCTTTGTTAAAATAAACAGACTCAAAAGACCTCAATCATTAAAATACATGATTTCCAATCCTTTAATTGTTCTCATGGTTCTTCTTTGAACCATTTCCAATTTATCAACATACTTCTTGAATCGTGGACACCAGAACGGGACACAGTATTCCATTAGTGGTTGCCCCAGTGCCAAATACGATAGGTAATATATATCCTTTCAACTCCTAATTTATATTACCTATTCATATAATCCAAGGATTGCATTAGCCCTTTTTGGCCATCGTGTTGCACTGTGAGCTCATGTTCAGCTGATTATGTACCATGACCCCCAAATCTGTTTGAGTCACTGCTTCCCAGGATTGAGTCCCCCAAACTGCAAGGATGGCCTGCCTTCTTGATCCTAGATTATGACTTTACATTTCACCATGTTAAAACATACTTTGTTTGCTTGAGCCTAGCTTACTCAGTGATCCAGATCATTCTTTGTCAGTGACATGTCCTCTTCATTGTTTAGTATCTCCCTCCCCCCGATATTTGTGTCATCTGCAGACTTTGTCAGTGATGATAATGTGTTTTCTTTCAGGCCATTGATAAAAATGTGAAATAGCATAGGGTGAAGGACTGATCCCTGTTGGACCTCACTAGAAATATAGCCACTTGAGGTTGATTCTCCATTTATAATTACATTTTGAGACATATAATTTAACCAGTTTTGAATCCATGTAATATGTGCTGCATTGATTTTGTATCATGTAGTTTATTAATCAAGAAGTCATGTAGTTCTATTCAGTTTCTGTATTTCTTTCATCTTTTCTTTTCCAAGATGTTTTACTTTCTGATTCTTTCTGTTTTGCCCCCAGCTTATTTCCTCCTCTTCAGTCTATCTTGTTCTTCCCTAAGGTTGTCTGAGTATCTCTTTCTCATATACATACAATACATACACACACACAAACACACATGCTCACCTTTGATATTTCTTTATAATCCTTTTTATTAATTCATTAGTTTTCTTCTATTTTTGAATTGTAAATTCTTTTCTTGTCTTGTTAACTCTGTTCTGCCAAATCCCTTCTCAGTGGTCTACTCTTCCCCACAACAAGAATGGCTCAAATGCTGAAATTGTCTTTTTTTCTTCTCAAAGTGAAGGGCCCCAGAACACTTCCCCATATCTTATTCCTCAAAATCATCACAAAGCCTTAAAGGCCTGAGTATTTCCCACTCCCTTTCTTATTAGCACTAGTTGTATTGAACTCTCTTGTGTCAGTACTTCCAGGTGGTCCTAGTCAGTTTCACTCCGCTGCCTTTCTCCTTCCCTGGAAAACTGCTGTGTGAGCACATGAAGCAGTGCAACTGACAGACTGCTTCTTGTTTCCAGTAACAGGAAAAATCCTGTTCAGTGTTGGAAATGTCATGGCCTGCCATTTTGGACACTAATTTTCATTTAGTTAATTTTGGTAGGTTTAGTTGCAAGGAGCTAAGTCACAAATGGCATTTCAGCAGATGAAAGGTGAAAGGAGGAGACTAACATGTCCGTAGTGGAAATCATACTTTTATTCTGATTTATCACATTATATTCTTAGGCCATTGTCATAATGTATGCAAAGAAAAATTCCCTCTTCTCCACCCTAGCGTCTACGAAGTCTCAGTCAGTGGAACAGTTCTGGGTGGTAAACAGCAAGGTAAAACTAGGTTGTCTGCACTAGAATTCAGAGTTAAGTGTTTCTTGCTCTGAGCAGTTTTCTACCTAATTTGTGGCTAATGCTCATATATGGGCCAAATTTGCTGCTTCTGCAGTTGGCAGTTCAACATGTGTGAGGTGTGAGAGAATGCACAACTGCAACATAGAGTTTCAGTCAACCTGACCTACTGAATTTCCAGAGCTATTTAAAGAACTTCAAGTGAAATCTACTCATTGGAGCCATGCACCTTTCAGGTATTAAAAACAGCGGATCTGTTATTAGAGAAAGGAGGTCAACAAATTCTGAGGGCAAGATTCCAGTATATCTCAAAGAAGTGATTATTGGGGTCATCAAGCCATGTCTTGATGCTGATAATCATCCTCATTACAGCCCTGCTCTCACGTTCCTTTTTGATGGAAAGTTAGGCCTTGCCTAGATGAGAAAGTTGCGCCTATTTAACTTAAAGTATAATTTAAACCAATTTAGTTAAACTGGTGTAAAGGGCTGTGTGAATGCCCCTATTTTGGTTTAAATCAACCTCATTTCAGTTCATTTAAAATTTTATAGGAATCTGTTTAAGATAAACCATTCAGAATACAATCAACGTGTCCACGCACTGTTTTGTCCCAGTTTAATTAAATTAGTGTAAAATCACACGAGGTTAAATCAGTGCAACTTTCTCATGTAAACAAGCTGTTGTTCAGAATGTTGTGGTGCAGTAGCTCTGGTATTATCTGGTGATCTCAGATTTCCTGGACGTATTTCAATTTGATGTATGACATGACTGTAACGCCTAGACAGTCCTGGTCTGGTTGGTAAATGATCTCTGGGTAAAGAACAATAGAAAAATGTCCTTGCTGATTATTTTAAATCTCTCATCTGCCTATGACTGTTCTCCACAAGGAATTGTTTTAGTTGTGAGCCCGTGTAGGTATAGATGGGAGTGGCACATTGGGGTGTCTCTGTTAGTTTCTCTGAGGTGATCCAACTCTTCTCCAAGAATTCTCCTTTGAGGAATACTGCAGGATTCTGTTCATTCATCCCACCTGCTACTGTGAAGTTACTAAGAGA